ATTTTTGACAAGTTTAAGTTATTTTCACCTTGATTAACGACAGATTTAAGTTCCAGCTCTCTTCAAACTTCTGATGTAGTGAAACTTAAACTGCGGCGCGACTTCGACTGAAGTGAATAACCCGGACCCAAATGAAGGGGTCGTGTTTCCCGGGAGGCATTTGGCCGCAGCACCTGCAGGTGACCCACCTGTTTGAAGCAGAAGGGCATGGTGAGCACACTCACTCCCACGATGCTGTTCACCACGTTCATGATGAGACCCGAGTTGGACGCCGTCATTGTCCACCTCTTCGTCACTGACCCTCTCTCGGTAAGAACAACTCGAAACAGTCCAGCAAACCCAGCAGCACACGGGGGTTAAGTGTCGCCGTCTAATCTCTGGCGGGCTGGGACTAAATCGCGGGTGTGTTTTCTCTGACTCGACCAATGACGTGGCGCTCTGAGGGGAAAAAGACACAGACATCACACATTGACTCACTTTCAGCTTTTCTTCGTTAAGTAACACAAGCACAAGCAAAACCTCAACACAAAACGAACAAACACGAGAATCGCCAGACTGTGAACACGGTAACATTTAGCTAGCGGGCTAACTTTAAGCGTTTGTAGTTTCTAACTAACTCACCTCTCTCTGACAACTCTGCGCCGCCCGCCTCCGAGTCTGATTTCACGTAATCATCGATGCTTCCTTCATATTAAACGGTTATTTATCTCCGGAATGCTCCGTCTTGTTTAGTGTAGTTAAACCACAGGTTGAAGGAAACTCTGCGAGACGATGATAACAAATCCAACCTGGCTGTTTTTCTCAACGCGTATCCAGGAAGTAAGGGTTGTAGTCGAGGAGGAGACAGAAGACGAACCCGCCTGTCGAGTAATACTGCTGAAATACTTTGGCGCCCGCTAGTGGTCACAGAGTTTTACTGCTGTTGGATAAACCTCTAGGTCAGTTTTTAACTGATGTAATGTCAATATTTATATATTAATATACTATATGTGAAATCATAGAAAATACCTAAATTAAAAGGGAAATGAGAGACTTAAAAGCTGATCTAGAATTTCATATCTATAAGAAATCAGCATCGTTTGCCATGTTTGAGTGCACTTACTTTACATTTTATTTAGCTGAGGCTTTTTAGCAAGGTTTAACCATGTCCACATACAGGGATTTGACTCTTGTTTAGTTCAGGCTACCACAAACTGGCAACATAAGCTTTGACCACTATGTGCAATAGAGAGAAACTGTACAAGACAGTGGTGCAACGGGAGACGAGATGTGTGAGGGTGGACGAGAAACATTTAACTACTAATGCTGACCAGAGGACAATAGTGCAAAGATGCTCAAACAGATTTGGATCGATAACATACAAGTTACTTATATTAGGTAGGTGAATTTATGTTGACTTATGTTAAACCAATGCAAAACATGACTTCCATTGGTAGAAACTACATTTATGTAAAAACTATTTTATGTATATACTTAATCTGCATTTATATTTTTTTTTTGTGTTGCTTT